CCTGTAAATAGGGGCAAGTTACACAATTAAAAGGAGTATTCTAATTATTCAAGAGTTTAGAATACAAACCTCAAGGAAATATTTCGACTCTGAAGGTCATTTAATTCACTAGGAGCCTGACAGTTGTCCTGCTAGGGGTGCTGGGATAAAAAACACAGCAGTGAGAAAGATCCTAGGTTGACTGAGCATGCTCAGCAAGAGTCCTGTAATTGGATTATTTTATAAAATCATGTTAATATATTGTTTTCAGAATGAGACACTGACTTGATTTGATGGGAGAAAATGATAATATTTCATAGTTGTTCTCCAAAGAGAAATTTGAATTTTATCTGTTACTTCTTTACTTGGCTTGAGAATTTAGTTTTTGAGGACATTTAATTTATCATTTGCAATTAAAAAAAATTGGGGGGAAATATATGTAAAAAGTCAAAATTTAAATTTAGTTATACATGCTTGGAATAGCACTTTACCCTAAATGTTATTTCTTAAATCTTCAAGTGTAAAGATTTTTTGAAATATTAATAGCTATAAATCTTCTATGCACATGTTTTCATAGTGATGATTACAGTAAAATTTTGTTTATGTGGTTCTCAATATAATTTCTCTAAAGTGCTATAAGTATTTATGAAAATGAGGATAGTTATCAGAGCTTTTAAAGATTTATATAAAAAATGTTTGGGATATTTGACTTTATACATGCATTAATTTGTATGTTACTTTCCCTTTAGATTAGCATTTTTATTATTTTTATTTGACTTTATACATGCATTAATTTGTATGTTACTTTCCCTTTAGATTAGCATTTTTATTATTTTTATTATTTTTTATTTTTTTTCTTTATTTTTTTTTTAGATCAGCATTTTTAGAAAACCAGTAAGAAAAATGTAGATGACTTTATACATGCATTAATTTGTATGTTACTTTCCCTTTAGATTAGCATTTTTATTATTTTTATTATTTTTTATTTTTTTCTTTATTTTTTTTTTAGATCAGCATTTTTAGAAAACCAGTAAGAAAAATGTAGATCTTAGAGTCTACTATTTTGTCATCTACACGTAATTTTACTGTTAATGTTCCATGTGCGTGTACTGTTTGTTTCAAAACTGAGGAATTCATGGGAATGATGTATTTTGTGGAATCAAGAACAAAATTGTAGTGGGATGACTCTTCTACATCTTAATACTGTTGCAAGCTCTACTTTGGAATTGACTGAGTAGAAAAGCAGAAAAAATTATCTAACTTATGTAGATACACTGTACCTTTGAATCTTTTGTCCAGATTGTCATTTCACTAATAGATCAGATACTTAGGCTAATATTTTCTTATTCCAAAAGCAAAATAAAATGAATTTATAGTCATGTGTTTGAGTTTCCTTTGGACAAGGGGTTTGGATTGGATGGTCAGTGGGTCTGTGTGGATCATGCTCACATGTAGTTGATATTTTAAGATGTGGTAAGTAACCAAATGATTTACAAAAACCAAAACCCTTTATTGAGTACTTACAATGTACTAGCTACTGTGCTGGACACTTCCTATGCATTGTCTCATTCAATCCCCATGATAACCTATGATATCATCATTTTGTAGATGTGGAAACTGAGGCACCAGGTCCCGCAGCTCAGTAGCCACTGCACTCTAGTGCCTCTCATATGAAACCCTGTAAAACTGAGATACTGTCTGATGCTACAGCCTGTGTCCGATCCTTTGTGCCTACTCGGATCATCTTATGTAGGTTTACGAAGCTGTTTGGAAACAGGCCCTCCCTTGGTTAGATAAAATCTTTTGGATTATGCTTCCATCTTCTAATCACTGTAGATGGGAAGACTTTAGATTGGAAATTTCCAAGAGTTTTCCTAAGAGGTTCTATCAAACCTACTTCCTGGCTAAGTGGTTTAATTTGCTGTCCATTGATTCAGGCTTCTCTTTGGGAGCATTTGTGGAGATGGGAGGGAGGCTGGGGAGCATACTTGGTCCTCAAAGTGATTTCTGCCTTGCACCTTACCAAAGTCATGCTTTCTCAGTCAGGAGTTGAGTTCTTCCTTTGCCCATGATGATGAAAATGGTGATGTCTATTTGACACTCACCTTCCTGGTCCCAATAGGTCTAATTCTGAACTTTTTTATTGAAACGAAATGGTGTAAATTTAGGGCAGATATCTGAGTTGAATTTTAAAAATTCTTTAGATTCTACCAAACAATAGATTTTTATATCTGTTGCCAGAGCAGCTACCAATGAGAGATGACTGAAATTTTGTCACATAGCACAGAAAAGTATTTGGTGGGGAGAGTGGGAAAATATTAAATAATAATAGAAAACTATTTAAAACAAAACACCTTATTATGAAACTTCTCAAACATATCCCAAAGTAGAAAGAATAATACAATGAACTTGATTCACTCACCCCCCAGCATCTACAATTATCTACCCATTATCCTCCCCCTCAATGAAGCAATTTGAAACATATTAACAAGTTGACTACACATGTCTTCCTTCAGCTGCCAAGCAATAACTGAACTTGGCAAGGATAATTTTCTCATGTGAGCAGAGGGCATGGGTGGTTAGTATCACCCATTAACGAGCCACATCATTACTTACAAAGCTTATTGGGGCCCGTTTCTTGCTATGGGCTTTCAGTGTCTGGATTGCGGGTTAAAATTTCCTCCTTTTCTCCCCAGCCCCCTGAGGATCTATCTATCTGAGGCCTAGGGCAGTGTCAAATAAGTGAAAAGTGCTTTTGAGATCTAGATGGGAAGGATTATTATTACTCTCACTATTGCCTTTAATTGTTTAAGAGTCAGAGGTCTTTTTGAGGGATCTGGGACCTAGGATTGGTCTAACACGAAATAAAAAGCACTTTATTTTTGTGGTTTGAATTACCATTAAAAAGCATTAAAATTGGCATTTTTAAATGCAGTCCTTGTAAAGTTTTCCCATACAAGTGTTTCTTTGGGGATGCCAAGTTAGGTCTTTTTCCATTGACACATGTAATGATGGAAGAGTTAGAGGTTCCAAACCTCAGAAAAATGAAGACCTAGTCTCAGTCCTGGAGGGCTTGTTTTTGCAACTGGGGCCAGACCAGGGTTTGGATGTAGGTACACAGTGGAAGAGTCTAGGAGGGAGGAAAGGGGAGAAACAGCCCCTTGGTGTGGCTACCTGTGCTTCCAACAGATACCTAGGGGCTCTGGGTCTCTAAATTTGCCAATCCCTGTCTAAGCAGAGGTGGAAGAATTCACATACGTGACTCTAGTTTCTCAAGGTCAAACAGGGAAGGGGAAAGTCTTTTTCAGAATCACAGAATTTATAGTTCTGGTGTGAGCATTCAGTACCCACACTGCAACAGGACTTACCAGGTCGTCGTGCAGGGTGTCGCTCCTGCCTGTTGGGCTCCATCCCCCACCCCTTGCTATATTCCAGTGCTCAGGGATTCTATCAGTTTCTCTAAGTATCAAGCCTCCCCTTTCTACCCCCACCTGGGGCATTCTTTTTTTTTTTTTTTAATTTTTATTTTGTCAATATACAATGTATATGATTATTATGGCCCTTCACCGACACCTCCCGCCCTCCTCCCTCTCTCCCCTCCCCCCCAAGAATGTCCTTTCCGTTTGCTTGTTGTAACAACTTCATTTTTTTTTTTTTTTTTTTTTTTTTTTTTTTTTTTTTTTTTTTTTTTTTAGCTCCCACCAATAAGTGAGAACATGTGGTATTTCTTTTTCTCTGCCTGACTCGTTTCACTCAGTATTATTCTTTCAAGGTCCATCCATGTTGTTGCAAATGGTAGTATTTCATTCGTTTTTATAGCTGAGTAGTATTCCATTGTGTAGATATACCACATTTTCTGTATCCACTCATCCGATGATGGACATTTGGGTTGATTCCAGCTCTTGGCTATTGTGAAGAGTGCTGCAATGAACATTGGGAAACAAGTGTACCTTCGACTTGATGATTTCCATTCCTTTGGATATATTCCCAGCAGTGGGATAGCTGGGTCGTATGGTAGGTCTATCTTCAGCTGTTTGAGGAACCTCCAAACCATTTTCCATAGGGGTTGCACCATTGTGCATTCCCACCAACAGTGTAAGAGAGTTCCTTTTTCTCCGCAGCCACGCCAGCATTTATCTTTCAGTGTCTTTTGGATTTTGGCCATCCTAACTGGGGTGAGATGGTATCTCAGTGTGGTTTTGATTTGCATTTCCTGGATGCTGAGTGATGTTGAGCATTTTTTCATATGACTGTTGGCCATTTGCATATCTTCTTTAGAGAAATGC